TGAGAGATTCTAAAAAAAAAATGTTGATACAATATTATATAAAACCTTCACATATACTATAATAATTAACATAAAGCGAAAAAATCATAAATTCAAGTTTAAGAAAACAGCATATCTCTATTTAGTAACTTATACACAAATGACTTTATCAGTTCAGCTGTTGAGTTTACTAGGAACTTGTCCAGATGTTTTCGTGAGAACAAACAGTGGCGCTTCAGACCAGACACACACCAAATATTCGTGAGGGAAGAATTTTTATAGCATCTTCATATCTCATTTAACCGCCTAAGAGATTATAACAACTTAGAATCACTTAACGATTATCCATACCATCTTATTTCACCTAAAGACTAACCACCCTCAACAGTATTTAGGTTCGGTTAGGTAAGCGTTAGATTAGACGTGCTTGAGCATTTTTTTGTTTACAATGAAAATAAAAACGACTTATAACATTGCAAAAAAAAAAACACAAAAAAACTAAATAATATTAATAAGAATTCTAAAAAATCGTTACTGTGTTTCTTTAGTCTGTACTTGAAAAAACAAATGGGGTAACAACAGCCATCAGTAAAATCAGTTATAGTAGATTCTTGGTTACTAAAAAGAAAAACCCAGCCTAAAAATACATATGAATATTCTTACTCCAAGTAGAACTGACAATAAAACACACAATGACACGCGATACTACTGTGATACATCCAAGGGAGTCGCCCGCCCATCGTGGTTCACCCAGGCGGTAACCCTCAGCTGCCTCGCCCTATACTGTGTTTATTCTCAGGATGATCTTAACCTCCTTCACTCCCTTCCTTCCTTCCTTCCTTCCTTCTCATCCACGACAGGTCTTTGGGGGTCGACCGTAGCTCTATGTGAAGCAAAGGCCACAACAATAACACCACCACCAACAACAACAACAACGGACAAATAAGACAGATTCTCCTATCATTTTTTTGGGGGTAATATTGACGACTTACCCGCCGACGAGTTATTTGTTTTGTTGTTTATATGTTTATTATATTTTCAACAGTAAGTTCTAATGTGATAATCATATTTTTGAAAATTGCTTCGTTTGGTAGATAATTAAGGCAACTAAGAGCGAACTACTTTGTCTGGCGCACACTACCATGGGTCAGTCGGCAATAATTACCTTAGGTTTGTATTTCAATGTTGTATTATGAGGTCTCCTGATTACCCTGTAACAATGTGAGGATGTAACAGTGTGAGAGGACAGTGTGTGTGTGTGAGTGTGTGTGTGTGTGTGTGTGCATGATTACCACAATAATTATAACAGCGTCGTTCCCTCCTTCGGGATGAGTTCATTATCTATAATTATCTTTTAGTACACCTGAGACGATAACGCTTCACTCGTCTTAGATAAATATTAAGCGTAAAGTTGTTTAAGTCCTTTGGGTTAGGTTAGGTTAAGGTAGAATTAGATTAGGGTACGTATGTTAGGTTAGGTTGGGTTAGTTTAGGACAAGTTAGGTTGTAGCAAAATTTCGGCCCAATTGACCTACTACAGCCGTCATGAGTATTAAGTAGAACACCATTATTACCGCTGATCTGATCTGCCGTGGAACTGATACATGTATTCCTATGCGTGAAGCCGATCTCTCCTGTAGCTGTAGGAGTAATCTATCCCCTGGTGAGGTGAAGATTAGCCCCCACTACTACTACTACTACTACTACTAGTACTACTCTCTCTTTCTCTCCATTGTCTCTAGTGGACAAGCCAACCCTTGAACTTTCCACCCTACGTAATCTTATCGTAATTAGGCATTGCTACGTTTATGTCAGGGTCACTTAACCTACTGAGATATTGATGTTCTATATACTGTACTCTCACAATTTTTTTTTTTCCCAGCATGACACGGATTCCCCCCCCATTATTATTCAAAGCCATTCATTTACTTCTATGGTGGTTTAAACACAATATAACCCTCACTCACTAATTCCCTATCACCTAGTTGAAGAGGAAAACACTTAAGGTTGAGTGTGGTTGGTGGGAGGATATTATATCAAGCGTGAGTTGCCAAGGGTCGGTGTTCAATGATGTGAGATAACCACGTACACGGTCCCCTGCCTAAAGTAATAACATGTTTGCTGTTGACTCTCCGGGTATCACTGGCCTGTACCTTGACAATGCAGGTATACAAACAATGGTAAACAATAAAGGAATTCGACCAAGGACAGTCAACAAAAGACCTCAGATGATTATTCTCAGTCAATTATTGTAAACAAAAACACCACGGAAAAAACTAACTGCATGACGTCATCACTATCCTCACAGCATGACGTCATCACTATCCTTCCTGCATGACGTCATCACTATCCACCCCGCATGACGTCATCACCACCCCTCACCGCATGACGTCATCACTATCCAGAAAAGATTAACTATTGATCTTTTAACTCTGGCAAGGGTATTTAATGCTTCCGTAATATGTAAATAAGAGTCATTATTAATCTCAAGGTTAAATAATAGTGCTGATAATGACGGTGTTGTGTGTCTGTGTGCCTGTGTAAGTATTCCTATCTACTTTACGAATTATGAAAGATTAGTAGCATAATTTCTGTCTTTCTGTCTGTCTGTCTGTCTGTCTGTCTGTCTGTCTGTCTGTCTGTCTTTCTGTCTGTCTGTCTGTCTCTTGATCATTACTTGTATCCTCACAGTCACAAATATTTCTCCCTTCCACCCACGATTCAACCCTTTCCACCCGACCCATCACGCGTAGGTTGGGTGGCGTTACGGCAGGTCCCGCCTATAGTACTGTTATCCCTCTCTCCCTCCCACTCACCTCCCTCCCACCCCTCTCCCCTCATTCACCCAAATTCACTCCTTCCGTCTCCCCTTCCCTCCTTCATTCCTATTCCTTTTCCCCCCCCCTTTCTGCACCATCTCTTCCTCACTCACCCTCCATCCTTCCTTCCCTCCTTCACTTTTACTCACCCTCCTTCTCTTCCTTAGCCACTCACTCCTTCCTTCTCTCACTTCCTCTCTTCCTCACACCCACTCCTTCTCCCGCCCCCCATCTTCTTCTCACTCATTCTCTCTGTCTCCCTTCTCACTTTCTCTACTTTGGACAAATTTAACACACCTAAACAAATCTGATCCCCCTATAATAATTACTTCACGAAATATCAATAAAACAAATTATCATTATACCGTGATATTTCTGCCATCACAATGAATAATATAATGAATAACAATGATCTCTACGACTCTTGATGTATAAGAATCACCAGTGCATAACGACGTGAAGATGTAGAATCATTCACGACACTATACAATGAAACGGGGAGAAACGGGAAAGTCTTATAGAATGAGTTTTATAAAGGTTTCAATGGTAAAAGGCATGATAGTGTGTGTGTGTGTGTGTGTGTGTGTGTGTGTGTGTGTGTGTGTGTGTGTGTGTGTGTGTGTGTGTGTGTGGACTTTCTCGTTAGTGGGTATGATAGGAGATAGGAAGGTATGATAAAAGAGGGAAGAAGGGAATTAGGAAGGGCGATAGGAAAGTATAATAAGAGAAGAAGAAGAAGGGAGATAGGAAGGGCTGATAAAGAGGGGAAGAAGGGAGATAGGAAGGTATGATGAGAGAAGAACAGTGCATAATAAATGTAGCAATAAGAGGAATGGACTAAGATAACAAGAGAAATGCAACACATAATAACAATATTCACTTACATCCTGACCTCACATCTATAGTACTGTACACAAAGGAACCTGACTGGAAACAAACCTTGGTCAAATGCCTTACTGTTCACCATATTGTTTGTTTACCTGTATGGTCTATGTATAATGTATATACTGTACATGCTTTGTCTGTATACATGCTGAACTGTATACCTGCTATGTCTATACACACTATTAAGTAAAATGCGTATGTCTTATTGGATAAAAAAAAAACATGTCCTATTTATTTAGCGTTATGACATCTGTGGGTTGGAAGGAAAACTAACGTCTATAATAGTGAGGTGGCAGAAATATTACTGTATACATGATTAGTCTGGTGATACCTAGTCGGGGTATTTCTTTAACATTGACCGTCCACCCTAGAAGCGTCTTCAGAATTTACGAACGTCATTGAAGTCGGATTCATTGTTGACGTTACGACTGGCGGGTGAAAAAAAAAAGAGAGAGAGAGAGAGAGAGATCCAGCTAACGGCAACAGAAAGGGCGTGGGAGGGAGAGAGGGAGGGGGGTAAGATGTATTGAATATAGAACAAGTGGCGGGTTCGACAGATAGACAGACAGCTCATCATCAGCACCACCACCCCCAGAAAGGCGGTCATCCGGCAGCCGACCTTAATATGCCACATGTGTATTACCAGCCACTGACTACCACTTAATCTTAGGTGTTTAATATCATAATGTAACGCGGCAATGTTATAACACCCTTAATGACTAACTGTACGAGCTATAGAGATGTGATTAGTGAAACGTGATGTATCGTTTCAATGGGAGCATAATATTTACTTGCATGGCGGAGTATTGGTGTTTTAAATCGGTGTTGCGTAGCTTTTGGCATTTTAAACACACAAACACACACACACACACACAACACACACACACACACACACACACACACACACACACACACACACACACACACACATACACACAACAACACACACACACACACACACACATGTATACTGAATATACTTTGTGTATGTGTTTGTTTATCTTCTTTTCTATCTCTCTTTCTCTATCTCTGTCTTTATCTCTCTCCCGTCTCCCTTTCTCTCCCTTTCGTTTTGTTTCTCTCTATGTCTCCTTCTAACATTGTCTTCTTTTCTATCTCACTTTATTCCTTTCCCCCTTCTTCTTCTCTCTCTCTGTCTCTACCTGTCTATCTGTCTTTCTTAATCTGTCTGTATCTTCCTGTCTCTCACACAACTCTTCCTCCACACAAAACAAAACACCATCATCCCTCTGTCCTCTCCTGTACACCTGTGACACCTTAACCAAACCATCAACACACTAATTAACACAGACTCACCTGGGCTTGGTGGTTGGGGAGGGAGGAGATTGCTGAAACGTTCCTCCCAAAACAAACTGATAGTAAGTGTATTTTCTCGTCAAGTTAAAAGGGACTTCACTAAGAAACTTTGAATCTTTGCCTCTGTAATGTGTTCAAGTCACTTTATCCCAAGCACGAGTCTTTAAGAAATCATTATGTTTGTTTGATTGTCAGAGCTAGGAGGTGTGTGTCTGCTTTTTTTTGTCACAGCAGAATGAGGGAAGATTTCTGCTTGGTTTTAGTTTTAAAGCAGATGAAGAACACAGCCTGCAAGCACTCCACAGCAGAACCTAGAGGCTGTTTATTCGTTCCAAGATATTTAGTTTGTCTTTGTTGTAGTTGTTTCTGTACACTCGTGAGTCCTTCTTCACACTGGCTATAACTCGGGGTCAAGAAGTCATTTTTTCCTACTAGTACGGCGTGATATTTCCCTCGATCTGATCCAAAGTGGGAAAAAAATCGAATTTGTTCTCGGTGTCTTAGTCAATTGAGAGTTGTAAACACAGCATGACCAATGTTGTGGTTTTCGAGATTATCTGAGTTTTTCTATTTTTAGTTTAAATTTTGATAATTTAGTATTTTTCTTGTTTGACAATTTAAACTTCGGTAATTTTGCAGTTTGTGATGGAGATTTTTGTCTTCTGAGAATTACGGAGAGATAAAAGTTACTGGATATTTGGTGATAAAAAAGAGGCACGGGCGTAGGAGGTCTTTAAACACAAGCTTGTCAACGCTACACGAAGTTCACCCGGGAAGTGCAACGGAGTGCGGCCAACACCACCTTTTCTTATTCCGCCACGCCCGCTTAAAGACCAATGTTGAGAACAATCCCACGACCGGAATCACTAAAGCTGACTAAACCCCATATACTGAATTCACTGAAACCTAACTACTGTATACCAATCTAACTTAGTTTAACCATCCCCAAAAATAGTTTTGGTTAGGTTAGATCACTTTTTAACTTATTTGTCTCATTAGAAAGTCAATAAAAATCGTATAGTGGTCCTGTTCGAAGTAACTTTTTAACATAGTCTATATATATAATATTTTCTTCCCATGGCGCTCACACTTACACACGAGGCGGGAAACTGGGTTGTTGACTCATTACACCGATAAACATTATATTTCTCGCCCTTTAGACCCTCAAGTGTGTGACTGATGGCGTCTTAGGATATTGATGAGGCGTGAAAGAAGAGAAACAAGTTAAGATTTAATGTGTATAAGAGATTTAATTAATGACAAGTGATGGGTGAAGGAAGGGTGGGAGGAGGAGAGGGATGGGAGGGGAGGGAGAGGGATGGGAGGAGGAGAGGGATGGGAGGAGGAGAGGGATGGGTGGGAGGAGAGGGATGGGAAGAGGCCCGAGTACTAGTAGGCCCCCTACTAGTAGGCCCCTGTACTAGTAGGCCCCCTGTACTAGTGAGGCCCCTGTACTAGTAGGCCCCCGTACCAGGCCCCTACTGTAGGCCCCCTGTACCTAGAAGGCCCCTGTACTAGTAGGCCCCCTGTACTAGTAGGCCCCACTACTAGTAGGCCCCAGTACTAGTGAGGCCCCTGTGACTAGTAGGCCCCAGTACCAGTAGGCCCCAGTACTAGTAGGCCCCAGTACCTGCAGGGGCCCCAGTACTAGTAGGCCCCAGTACTAGTAGGCCCCAGTACTAGTAGGCCCCAGTACTAGGCCCCAGTACTAGTAGCCCCCTGTACTAGTAGGCCCCCAGTACTAGGTAGGGCCCCTCAGTACTAGTAGGCCCCAGTACCAAGTAGGCCCCCAGTACTAGTAGGCCCCAGTACTAGTGGTCCCAGTGTAGGCCCCCAGCATAGTAGGCCCAGACCAGAGGTCCCAGCACTAGTAGGCCCCAGTACTGCAGGGCCCCAGTACTAGTAGGCCCCAGTGCTAGTAGGTCCCAGTACTAGTAGGCCCCCTGTAATGGTATAGGCCCCCAGTACTAGTAGGCCCCAGTACTAGTAGGGCCCCTGTGTACTATAGGCCCCAGTACTAGTAGGCCCCAGTACTAGTGGCTCCAGTACTAGTAGGCCCCCAATACTAGTAGGCCCCAGTACTAGTAGGCCCCAGCAACTAGTAGGCCCCAGTACTAGTAGGTCCCAGTACTAGTAGGTCCCAATACCTGTAGGCCCCAGTACTAGTAGGTCCCAGCACCAGTAGTAGTGGGCCCCAGTACTGTAGGTCCCAGCACTAGTAGGCCCCAGTACTAGTAGGCCCCAGTACCTGTAGGCCCCAGTACTAGTGGGCCCCAGTACTAGTAGGCCCCAATACTAGTAGGCCCCAGTACTAGTAGGCCCCAGTACTAGTAGGCCCCAGTACTAGTAGGCCCCAGTACTAGTAGGCCCCAGTACTAGTAGGCCCCAATACTAGTAGGTCCCCAGTACTAGTAGGCCCCAGTACTAGTAGGCCCCAGCAACAGTAGGTCCCAGTACTAGTAGGTCCCAGTACTAGTAGGCCCCAGCAACTAGTGAGGCCCCAGTACCAGACGTACTAGTAGGTCCCAGTACTAGCAGGGCCCCAGTACTGTGCCCCAGTACTAGTGGGCCCCAGCACTAGTAGGCCCCAGTACTGTAGGCCCCAGTACTAGTAGGCCCCAGTACTAGTAGGCTCCCAGTACTAGTAGGCCCCAGTACTAGTAGGGCCCCAATCAGTAGGCCCCAGCACTAGTGAGCCCCAGTACTAGTGGGCCCCAGTACTAGTAGGCCCCAGTACTGCAGGCCCCAGTACTAGTAGGCCCCAGTACTAGTAGGCCCCAGTAGGCCCCAGTACTAGTAGGCCCCAGCACTAGTAGGCCCCAGTACTAGTAGGCCCCAGTACTAGTAGAGGCCCCAATACTAGTAGGCCCCAGTACTAGTAGGCCCCAGTACTAGTAGGCTCCCAGTACTAGTGAGGTCCCAGTACTAGTAGGCCCCATAGTAGGCTCACAGTACTAGTAGGCCCCAGTACTAGTAGGCCCCAGTGACTAGTAGGCCCCCAGTACTAGTAGGCCCCCAGTACTGAGGCCCCCAGTACTAGTAGGCCCCAGTACTAGTAGGCCCCAGTACTAGTAGGCCCCAGTACTAGTAGGTCCCAGTACTAGTAGGTCCCAGTACTAGTAGGTCCCAGTACTAGTAGGTCCCAGTACTAGTAGGCCCCAGTACTAGTAGGCCCCAGTACTAGTAGGCCCTGATTACACGTATATCGATCCTTCTTAGGCCTTTTCCCTTGTGTGTCGATAAGTGAGTGAAGGTGTGAGTGTGAGTGATTGAGTGTGAGTGATTGAGTGAGTGAGTGATTGAGTGTGAGTGTGAGTGATTGAGTGTGCGAGTGAGTGATTGAGTGTGCGAGTGAGTATTGAGTGATTGAGTGTGAGTGATTGGAGGTACGAGTGAGTGATTGAGTAAGTGAGTGAGTGATTGAGTGTGAGTGTGAGTAATTGAGTGTGCGAGTGAGTGATTGAGTGAGTAGATGAGTGTGTGAATCAGTCAGTCAGTGAGTCAATCAATCATTTAGATAGATAGATAGATAGATAGATAAATAACACAATGAACATCTAACTCAACCGGTTCCGTCAGTCATAAAGTTCCTTAAGTGTTACGTTACGTTACCAAATGAGGAGTGACGTTCGCCTTACCTACGACAGGTGCACTTCCCCGTTACCCCGGAGGAGGTGGTGTGAGGCGGCGGAAGTGACGATATCCTCCCTGTCACACTCTCTAGTCAGAGAGAGAGAGAGACATAAAGCTGTCCAGCGTCTCTATGTGAATCTAACCCATGAGTTCCTTTCCAGTCTGTTTTATTTCTGGGAGGGGAATGGGAGGGTATAGGAAGGAATGGGGAGGGGAGAAATGTATGTGTAGGGAGGGAAGGAAGAGAGAAGGATAGGAGGAGGAAGGGTAGAAGGAGGGTAGGAGGGAAGGGGTAGGAGGGAGGGCAGGAGGGGCGGGGTAGGGAGGGGAGGGCAGGAGGGGCGGGTAGGGAGGGAAGGGTAGGAGGAAGGGAGAGGGAAGGGTAGGAGGGGAGGGCAGGAGGGCGGGTAGGAGGGAAGGGCAGAAGGGAAGGGTAACGTAAGGAGGCGAAGACGAGGAAAATCACGATACTGTTGTTGCTTTACGCCCGACCAGGCAGATAGGAAGTTCGCCTGGCGCTAACATGAGGATTAAATACGATAATAAACCAGTGCAAGGTTGAGTTCTTGTCCTTGTTCGTCACTTATTATTATTATTATTATTATTATTATTATTATTATTATTATTATTATTATTATTATTATTATTATTATTATTATTATTATTATTATTATTATTATTATCACTGTACCAGATATAAGTGTAGGCGACTGTACCAAAATCTCTTGGTAAAAACAAAACATTCTAGATATTGTATTATTTTTCCACGGTGAATAAAATTAACTGTTAGGTTTATTCACCTCATAGTGATAATACGGAAGTAGGAATACAGGGTTGGATACGCAAGAAGCCATCAAACAGAAAACGGTTCAAGCAATTTGTATAGAGGAAAGTGCATAAGATGTGAAGGTTTAAGTAAGGGAGGAGATGGGTGTATTCTGACCTGGGAGGACTCATAAAAGCTTCCGCCCTCCTTAAGACAATTAATTATGCTCAGAGTAAGTACTGGGAGGGGCAGAACCGTTCACTTAAAAGTTCCTGTCGTCTCCCAACTCCCGTTTCCTCCTTCTCTTCCTCTTCCTCTTCTGTGACAGTCAGTCTTCATCCCTCCACCCAGTCACCTATTGTCCTCAATTTTCTTTCTCTTTATTCTCTATAGTTCTTTTCCATTTCATTCCCGTTAACTCTTGTACACATCTTCATCACTATCACAGGTAAATTTCTGTATAATTGATTCCGTGTGGTTAATCTGTTAAAGTGATCCCGTTAAAGAAACCCAAACACAAGAACATACACTCGCGGGAGAGAAAGAAAACCGTAGCGTAATTCAGGGGAAACTATACTGTACTCTGCGATCATATGCATCTACTAAATCACGTGATATCTCTCCTTCGCGGTGGTTATTTTACACTTAGAAGTGAACTAATTATATACCGGAGGCCCGTAAATGCAGTTATTTGACAGAGTTCCTCCTGAAGGCATTACTATAATTCACATAGGTCGGAGTGTCTAGCTGTAGTGCTGTGAGTTATGCCTCCTGTATCTACTGCTAATAGTGTTTTCCTGAATATTAAACCGCACCTGAGGATTTTAAACTACCTTAATGTTAACCTAAACTATCCCTACTTAACATAACATAATTTAACGTAACAACCCCCCTATTATAACAACAACAAAAACAACACTAACAAAACAACAACGCCAACAACAAAATTTCATCGGTAACAAATACATGAATTAGTTACGCTGATCAAGCATAAAATAGGAAAAAAAAAATTGTTACATCAGTTTAAATAACACAATAACCGTACAGATGTGACCCCTGATAAGCGTGTGAGAGGGCGTGTGTTTGTGTGGGCGTGGTCGTGAAATCAATCGTGGAGGGCGTGGTTACAGTACCTCTTCTTCAACATTGTGCCATGAAGTGTCTATTATCAATACTATTTAATCCAATTCTTCGTGACTAGACCGCATCTGATTATAGGTCGAGTCTCAGTGTAATTTTGTCACCATTTAGGAATCAGTTAGACGCGTTCTCACATCACCAGTTATGAGATTAATGAACGTAAGTGTTATTAAGAATGGAACTGATATTAGGTGTATGGTTAAGTGATTCCTATATGTTCTCAGAG